AGCAAACATATTTTAACTGTAGGATGAAAAGATATAATAACAAAATATTGTAAAATTCTATTTCTTTATTTTAAAACATTTTGTAACTGTTGCAGTTAAAACATTCATATATTACACAACATACATTCAGTATCTGATTTTTTTCATGCTGTAAAATTACAAGCAAAATGTAAAACTATGAAAAAAACCTTCTATATCAGCAACAATGAACTATAAGAGAAACTTTTCACGTTTTAAAACCTGTTACAGCAGTGATTCAATGTTCAAAACATCATAATCTAATATTGGATCTAATATCCAAATCTGCTACTCTCCATGCAGTTGAATACAGTGATTAAGCACTTTATGACCAATATTTTAAGATTTTTGGGGTCACATATTTCAAGTCAAATATAATAAGTAGAAGAGGTGCATAATCAGAAGATTTATCAGTTTAAAGGTTTCTTTTATGAAAGTCACCAGAAATAAACCAACAAAATAAGGGAAAAAGGTTTGTCAGAGCAGAATGTCTTTTGCAGCTCTGATAAATGACTAACGACCTTTGGACCGTTAAACACTGACTCACTTTGGGACCATAGGAGCAGGCAAAGCAGAAGGATCTGTTAGCTGTTCCACAAAATATATATTCTACTCCAATACATATACCCATCCCTAGGATGCATTTTAAACATTATGTAAACCCTTGTAGTATGAGCATACACCCTTTTCCCCATGCTTACAACAACCCCTCACCCCTCATTTGAAAGAATAGTATATATCAGTTCTCCTTGTGAAATGAAATATGTGACATATTATATAAATATCAAATTTTTTTACATTATCTAATGACTTCTGTTGGGAATCCTGCTAAAACTGAAAGGCATGTTGCCCTTCATGCCAGCAAACTTCCCCCAAGCACCAAATGGAATCACAACACAGGTACTGTTGTCTTGGGAACCAAACTGTAGGGCCTGGTCTGTGATGACCTTGGCTCCTTCCATGGGGTTCTTACAGTTTGAGATAGTGTCGGTGATCTCCTGGTCATTCATTACAAATGATATGCCATCTGTTATCAGCACTAAAAATGAGTCCTTGGAGTGTCTCACCTGAAATTGAGAAAGAAAAAAAATTATCTATGACCAATCATTATAATTCTGACAACAATATTATATTGTGAATTTGGTGTAGGAAACATGTTCAGCACTTTTTTTCTTAATTTCTATATTATTTTCTTTTAATAACCCCAATTTGAAACCTTCATGAAGTAGACATGCAGAAACTGCCGGTCCGATCGGTCATGACCGGCAAATGTCTGGACTGGTAAAAAATTGGACTTGGTCCAAAGGACCGACAAGAGTTTTAAGAGCTGCAATTTTAAATTTACAGTCATCATTTGACATACTAGACTATTAAAATTATATAAGACCCAAAGCGTTTTTTCACTTCCATTTCAAACCTATCACATTCACAAACATAATAAGCTACCCTAATAATACTGGTACTATCTGTCTCAAACGAATAGAGTGATTTTTGGCCCGACAGCAAATTTTTCATTACTGCCGGTCCAAATGTCCGACCATTCTGACTAGTTTTTAGCATTTCTGTCATTGTGCAGTATTACATTTACTGTCAGTGCATTGCTAAACAAGGAAACAAAAGGTTAATTTTTGGTGAACAAAAAAGTGAAGTATTTCAATAAAGAAAGTTTCTACTAACTTACACCAACAGACCGTGTATCAGGTACAGCACTAACACCAAATGGCTTTAAATCCTGGTCCCCAATGCTCCTGGACATGGCTAGTATCCCATTGACCAGTGGCCGACCAAGACTGTCCCAAATAACAGACCCACCACTGCTTTCAATCCTCTCCCTCTCGCTTGCCATCTCTGGTTCATGATCAGCAGTCAGCCTGATAGCTTTACTCTGCCGACACAAGATGGCGCATGTGTCTCCAACATGTCCTATGACAAGTTCAACTCCATTACGTAGCAGGCATACCGTAGCTGTGGTTCCAGTGTATGCTAGTGTTACCTCTTCTGAGTTACTGGGTTCAGCTTTAATCCAGTCTGAAAACAGGGATTATCAGAATATTAAAATATGATAAAAAGCTTTATGTCATTCTGTGCTTAGCACCAGAAGCTTTTACATATTCATTAGAGCTAAAAAAAAAAAACTTTAGAAGAATATATTTTCAACTTTCTTATAATTAAGCACTATTTAATATGGTATATACTACATATGCAAGTACGTAGTAATAAATCAGGATGTCATAAATACACAGAAGCTATTTTTATGTTTATTTCTGGCCAGGAAAACATGTATCAAAAAAGTACTGAAATATATATATATATTGTCCAGTTTAAAAAGGGATTTCCAAAACATACTCATAGAACTCAACTGGTCACAATGCCATTGGATGCATGTGGCCAAAATAAATTGTTTGAGGGAGTTAACAGGATATTTGAAATATACTGAAAACAGCATATGACCCTATGATAAACACATGCAAACAACGGATATAATAAATGAGATGTGCATTTACCTTTTTGTTTCTGTTTTGAATAAGTAAACCTGTTGAACATGTTATCGACATCAACAAATGACCTCTTCAAGACCATCTGAAGGTCTTTTGTGCGTTGTAACCAGTACTTGATATGATCTTCAAGTCTGCTGTGGACAAAGTCAGCTGCCTCAGCAGTCCCATGGCCATCAAAAATGGCGAAGTATAAAATATCTGGTGTCAGCTCAGAAACCTTGAAGCGGTCCTGATTCTCTGTCCTTCGACCAATCACTGTGGCATAACCTATATCATCGATTGAGATCTGTGGTATAGGTTCACCCCGTCGAGCACTCTGTTTCTCATTGAGAGGAAGGTTCAGACGATTATTCCAAGATCCTATTGTATCAAAATTAACTCCATCCTGCCTTTCTCCTTTGTTTTCTGGGTCGTATAATGCCTTTGCCCTTTTAACAGGTGGTGTAAAAATTCCACATTTGGGGCAGAAATTTGTCTGTACTGTAACTGCCAGTGAAGGAGGTATCTTTTTCAGGCAAACCTGGTATGTCAGTCTTGATAAACTTCTTAAACCCATGCCTAGAGTTTTTCCTTTCTCTGTGTTAATTGACCACACTTAATATACAGGTACCTGTACAATGCAAAATAGAACTATAGGAATTAAGGCTGTACACAAAATTTGACTCTCAGTCTTGGACTGGCAAGTCGAGAGCTCTTTCTTTCTCTCTTTCTTCCATTGTGTTTATGCCCAAAGGCACTGAAACAGATTTATCCAGATCCATTATTATCACTCAAAGCTTCATACTTAACTTATCTATAATATTAATATTATATACGTACTACTAAACTAGTAATATTATATATATATACTGTAATATAAATGTAACACTTAGTAAGACTTACAATAACAGTACGATATAACCACAGGATCAATCATACACACATCGCCTGTTCTAACTGTTATAAAATCATGCGTACATGTCCACACCTTAAATACCAATCGATGATGTTTGTTTACATTCAAGTTACTGTAAGGTGAACTTCAATGTCAGAGATGTTAAAAAAATAGGTCAACGGACGAAGAATGTCTGACCTGACCTGGGCATAGATAAAGCGCCATACGGTACAGTGATACGGTAGATCTAACCATAGAAGTAGAGAAAATGGAATGCCAACTTCAAATCTCANCCATTCACATGTAGTGCAACAAAAGTTGACCGGAAGTAAAACTACCCAACTCTCGCCCAACTCTCGTGGTCACAAGCTCATAACACAGAGGGCAATACAAATCTCGCGGGAGTTGGCATTCCATTTTCTCTACTTCTATGATCTAACCTAAACACCATGTTATCTTATCTTATCTTTCTTTTCATGCGACATATTTTATGAAAATACAATTTGCGGCCTTATCCTAATTAGGTGGAGAGTACATATTAAGACTAGTTGAAGTGAGGGCCCCAGCAAGGTACATAGTGAACTTTGGCTTCACTCCAGTGATCGTTTTGTGTGAAATTATAAGGCAAAATGATTAATTTGTTAAAAGATGATGTCACTAGCTATGCAAGTTGGTCCTTATGAAAGTTAACAGTAAATTCTAGCTGTACATAATACTTACTTTCTTATGAAGGGGCCGATATTACAACTGCAAGCATCCCTTGCCGGTGCACTGTTTTTGTTTTGTAAGTAAATAGTTCTCGTTTTGTCGATAGAGGGCAGCATATGTTCGCAGTTCTATGATACGAGTTATTAAGATTTTATTATATCATTTGTTATTGAAAAATGATTTGCATGAATTCTTCTTTCTTCTGTGTGTTAGACACCTTTAATGCGTTACTTTTCTATACAAAGATTTGATTCAAGCAGACGTGCACATAACACCGTTATCCCTGCACTAACATTACCAAGAAAACGCATTAAGATGGTCCTTGGAATGAAAAACGCTATTTTATTTTGGTATCATGGTGAACATAGCTCCAAGTAATTTAGTAGAGAAGTTTAACCCTAAAGGTCTACGTGTAAGATAAGTGTGTGTACTCAACATGTTTTACCCTCTTTAAATAAAGTTTGTCATTATTATTATTATCATTATTATTATGAAGTAATAAAGATGTTCCCACCATTTCAAAATGTTTTTGAAAAATAAGCAATTTCACCTGCTCATGAATCATTTCTAGACATATTCCTAAACTTGGTGGACTCTTAAGTTATGCATAATTTTATCTAAACAATTTGTTCTAAATGACTGGCCTTTTTTTCCTGTACAGTTTTGAAGAAAATTCCATTTCTAAATACTGTCATGTGGAAGGTTATATCATTTTAAGATCTGAATTGGGAAGGATAATTAACTTCAAAGAATATGTAGACATAAAAAAATGTAATTTTGGAATACAAGTTTGAAAACGTTTGTATGTACTGTATATACATGTATCTTGGGACACTTTAAAAAGTGGATAGTATACCTTTCATATATTAAAAATAAATAAAAATAAATATATTTAAAAAAGATAAATTTTTTCATCCTGTATTTTTAAAGACTTAATATTACATATTTATCATACATATCATTTGTACAATTCTAGGCCTCTGCGTGCTTGGTCAGTGCCAGTTTTAAAATCTGTACATTATACAGGTATACATTGTTTTGCTACTGTGACGGTGTAGTATATACATGTATACAACTTCAATGACTGATCATTTTTCCCATTGAAAAGACAAACCACAAGGTAGCTTCAAATTTAAACTCATTTAAGCTCTAGTTCAAGAAAATTTCATGAAATTATAATATTGTTGCATGGTTGCAACCTTATCACATAGATGTGTTGATTGAGCAGTTTTCCAAAAATGCAGTGCTAGATTAAGGGTTTTGTTGTCTCTTGGAAAATAGCTGTCTTTCAGCCTGTCCCATTTTTGTAAATTATGCAAGACCCTAGTATTAGCATCAAGAATTTGGAGTCCATGCTATTGAACTGTCCAATAAAGTATGGTATGGTCTCTTTGTGACATCTATCAGTAAAGGTGTAATATGGTCATGGAATCCAACAGAAATTGCTAGCAGCTGAAGTATCTTTTCTGCCACACTTGAACCACCTTGTCCTGGCTAAAGAAAATGAAACCAAACTTTAAAATGCAGTTAATTGATCAAAAAGACTAATTAAGTGTAAGATTTAAAACATATGGTTAGCATATAGACCACTTTTTCTTGAACTTATCTGATCTTTTTGATCATTCATTTTTTAAACAGAATTAATGTTGCCAAAAATACGTAACCAAACTATTAACTCCTAAGGAACCTTGCCACCTGTCGAACATCTTGACACAGTTTTGAACCATGTAAAACCCAAAGTAAGAGCTTGAAATGAAAGAGTAATTAAAAAAAAAATTCAAAAGCATGGGCTTGGGACTATCAATTTTCCTAGATTGTTACAGAGTTATGCTGAGTGTCAAGATAGGAAGATAAGGTTCGTGGGTCAAAAATAAAAACTGTTTAACCCAGTAAAATCTGTTAAGTATGAGGTTTTTGTGGGAAAATCTTACACTGTGCATCTTTAACCTCTTGACATGTCAAGAATCATTTGTAATTTAAAAAAATGTTAACATCATAACTAAATGTTAGCACAGTCATAAGTTTGACACACAAATTTAACAAATGAATTATCATTTAAATCATTTCTGAAAACATTCATACTGCCCACCTCCACTGTTTCACACAATAAAGGTGAATCATAGGTATCAGCTAACTGTGTGACTGCTTCTATTTCTACACTTCTATCCAATAAACCTTGGGCTGAAAAAAAAAAACAACAAAACAAATTTTGACTTATCAGATCATAATACTTGAGTACATAATTGTACAACTTAAAGACATATGAAATCATGTTTCCCTTAGAAAGAGATGGACATCACTTTTTGTTTTTTAAGTTTTTGTAACTAGGAGGTTGTAGATTTTTTTTTATCTCAGCAATGACCAATATCAATGTTATTTGAAAAGGAACAATATGTCAGCTATTTCTGCATTTTATCAATACTCACCATTTTTAATTACAAAGCATACTCTTCCAAGAAAGTAATCCACATCTAGATGAGGCAAAGAAGATTCTACCACAGCCATGCTAAAATGTAGAAGCTACGTGTTGAAATTTTACCATATTGTGGGAAATAGAGCAGAAGTTAAAGTATTTGCTTTGACTTAATAAATCAGGAGACCATTAATTGTTTTCAAGCTTATATTTAAGGCTTACACTATCACAAATTTTGTACAATGCATGTACCTTCGCTTATCAGTCATGTCAATCATGAAAATAACCATATCAATTTTTGGACGGTCAGTTTCTTTGTTTTCTGGTAATGGAAGACTTGTAGCAGTCCGGCTAAAATGGGTAAAACAACATGCAAATTACTAATTAGCTATGAAAAATAATTCACTTTTATAATACAGTCTGCGACGTTAGGCACTAGCCCGAGGCAATTGCCCACCTAAAGTGGCACCGGGCTAGTAAAAAAGTTGAAATTTTATAAAGCACTAGCCCGAACAGGCTAGTTGAAATTTTGAGCCTTTTGTAACACTCAGTAAGATTTCAAAAATATAAGTGGCCAGTCTTCTTTGTCCCTGCCTCTAATTTGACGTTTCTAGAAAGTATGATGTGCCTCTCAGTTGAAAAAACTCACACCTTGCTCAAACTACTGAATATTGATTAGTTGCAGCATAAAATTACAATAGAAGTTAGAGTGGATAGTGGGCTGGTTATCGATTAGTTCAAAACTATGAACTTTTTAAAAAAGTTTAAAGTATTGATTCAAAGATTCCATTAACAAAAAGTTCAACTCTAAATGAAAATTGCACTTTTCATGAAGGTTGACTTATCATACATGTACTTAGCACATGTATATGCTACTAAAAGGTTTAACTGCAGCTGAGAAAGGTAAAAAGTACCTACACTTGCAATGCATAGGAAGTACCAACACCAACAAGAGCCTTGGCTAATTCATGTTTTCCAATCCCATGACAGCCTACAATCTAAACAAATATAAAATATAAATCAATCATGAATTCCGTTACATATTATACATATATTTGACTTGGTTTTGAAAATTTTTGATTATTTGATCATTTGATAAATTCTAATAACTATATTAACCAGCTCAAGATATCTTTACTGATGAATTGGTGTACGGCATGCTTATAATTTATAAATACAAAGGCAGATAGGATATCCCTACTCTCTTAAAAAGTATAAATAAATATAAATAAATAAAGTTTTCTTCCTCCTCATCAAAAGGGAGCTTTTAACATTAAAAATTAAAAAATTTTGATTATTTTAGAAAACAATTGGAGTCATGTTGTGTCAAAATAGGCATTTGTCAACATATATCCTTCAAATCTACTTACCTTTCCCAATATCATAAAGACATTAACAAGATGGCAAAGCTGTCAAATGTTCATGTACAGACATAAAGCAGAAAATAATGATGAGAGTTGTCATTTTTGTGTATAAGGCAATGTTTAACAGCAGAATCACTTCCATTTTTTAATAATGACACTCTAACTGTCAATAAAGCAATCCAGGCAATACAGTAAGGGCCCCTTTACACTGGACGCCGTCCTTTCTGCGTCCCTTCTGCGTTCAAAAATGTGGTCAGGACGCTCAACGGTCGCCAAAGCAATTAAATCGTGTCTCAGTGTAAAGGCGTCTGCGTCCCTTGTGCGTCCTTTGAACGACCGAATCTTGATTTTACCTGTAAAACTGCGAGCAACCTGCCTGCCTCCACTGTACGTCCCCTGTGCAACCCAAGGCATCCATTGCAATGTTTAAGCGACCATTGAGCATTCTTGCTGCGTTCTCTGTACCTTCATCGGCGATCAGTGGCGTCTATTCTCCGATCATTCTGCATCCTGCTTGACCGATGAGCGTTGTTTGGGCGTCCTCTATATTCTGACTCATATTTTTTCATCGGTTCTAACCAGGTCATACAATAAAGAACATTTCCAGCACACAAAACAAATAAATGGGAATAAACGCTTTTAACTATAGTGATGCAAGGTCTGCATGGACTGATAATCAGCCAGATGCTCATTGTTTTCCTTATAAGAAGGATGGACAGGCGCCGAAAACGAGAAAGTATGACTGACACGACATAGAATGTTTGAATCCGTTTTCAAATGAAGCATTCAGCAAAAAGTTCTGACAATTAATGCATCTTGTAAAAAAGGCAAAATATTCGTTTTATAATTACCTCAAAAAAAAAAAAAA